AGTAGTTCATGAAATAAGAGGGAAAATGAGAGGTTATATCCTATAGTCTCACAGGTGTCTCAGACTGGCTAGAAACAACAGCCCCCACAGACTGAGAAGTTTCAAACTTGCACCCCAGGAGGTACTCTCCATWCACTTTTGGGCCCTAGGGCATCTAGAACAAGTCCAGTTAGCTGCAGTCTAGGAAGTTGTCACTTCAYTGACATATAGAGAAACAGCAAGAGAAAGCAAAACTTCATCCCGGTGATTTCTGCTGTTTTCTGGGAGGAGAAGTCATGGGTATCCAGTCTTCGACCACCGCTACTTGGTTATGTCTCTTACACAAGGCATGGCCTGTCAGGGGAACTTTTCCCTCTGTGGTAAGTACCATGTGATACAATCCACTGGTGAACAGGTCCAGTGGTGCCYACACTTCCCATTGCCCAGGTTCTGCTCCGTCCCTCACCACTACCCTGCTCCTATGCTGCAAGACCAGTATTTGGCTATATCATTACAGCTCTTCTGAGCATGGTTGCTGATGGAAAAAAAAAAAATCCTGTTTTTATTACTTATAGTTATAACGAATAGGGGAGAGGAAGGCACCTCAATCAATGGAAGTAATATTGTTGCAAGCAATTATTTTATGACCTGAATGGTTGGAGTTAATATGCATAATAGTCTTGAGAGCTGGATCCACCACCTCTAGACTGCCAACCTCCTCTGCCCCAGCTGCTGAGCAGTGACAGTACCTTTGAAGCCAGCAAGTTCCTCCTCATGGCCCTGCACTCAGGGAGAGGAACTGGGCCCCCTCATGACCTGGCTGACATTGCTCTGACCTGCAGAACTAAATCAGCCTGCASAGCTCAAACTTTCATTCCTTTTGCTGATCCCAAATTTCATAAACTTTTGGAGAGAGACAGATTAATGTGATGGTGTGACCTCTTGGTCTTTTACCTCACATTTTAATGAGGATCCCAAACCCTTTCCTGCTATGCCTTTTTGCACGTGCCCCCACTTCTATAAAATTATGCCACAGTAAACAGAAAGAAAAGAGCCATTTCCCAGCACAGGAGCAGTGAAGCAATCAGCTACAAACAGCTCAGGTCATAGCACACGCAATCCCCACCACATGCTACTTCACATGCCTCCCCCAGCACTGCAGGGAGGTCAGCCACCCAGGTGACATCCTCCCCTATTCCCCTCCTGAAGCTGCTGCTGCTTACCCCATCCCACATGGAAAAGCTGCCAGATATTGCCTGACCCTGATTTCCCAATCCAACACCACACTGAGAGTATTTTCTGACTCTCTCAAGCACCAACTCAGGCACCTCTACTTGGGCTTGTATGGCCCACTAGCTGCAGGGGATAGCACCCATATTCCCAGCAGAAGGTATCAGGAAATGCCTGCTTACTCAGAAAGCTGCCAACCACCTGCACCYAGACCTGCTGCTTTTCTACTCTGAAACATGCTCAGCTGGAATTACTTAGTAGAAATGAGTTCAGCTCGTAGAAAATCCCACAGGACAATTACTAGTTTCCCTGTCTGGTAATAAAGGTAATGAAAACAAGTTTGAACAAAAATCTCAAATACCATTCAATGTATAAACATGTAAAATTAATGGACTCCAGAAGAGCACYTTTACCCTCATGACAATCTGCTTCTTGACACACCTTTAGCTGGCATTGAGAATAACAGCTTTTCATCATCCTGAAAAAAGGAAATAAACCACACTTCAAAAATAATTTTCTTATAAATGCTTCTTGTTCATAATAAGAAGCACTTACTTCAAGTAAGCAAATTTTTCATTGTCTAGTGCAAAGAATTCGTAACTATTTTTTAGTAGAGATACATCCCATTTGCAGGCTCTTGGTCAGCTAAATTTGGATATTAGGGCTGACAATGAGATTGACTTGATGCTCTATATAAAAGAGGGGAACAATCCCGTGCAAGTCACTGTTCAAATTTAAGGAAAATAAAGCTGCAAAATAAAGTTTCAAATCTCTGAAGTACATCTTGCTTTTAAGTGTAAGTTTCAGGTAAGAAACATCCTGTGTATTAGAGAAGTCAGGTATAATCCCCTGGATTCCAGGGATTGCAGACTCCAGATAACTTCTTAGATAGCAAAAACGATAAACAAGGAGTATCAGTGTAGCMTTGTAGTTACACACTGTGTAGTTACAGAGCACAGAAAAATTCCTGGGCAGCATTGGAAGAAGTGCAGCCTGGTTTAACTTGGTTACAAGCCACCCAGAACTACTCAAGCAAATTCAAGATGCCTGTCTCAGGAATCAGGCTACATAGACAAGCAACGTCATGCTGGTATATCAGCAGGAGGTCAAATTTGGTTTGGGGAAATAAGGTTATTAATTTAAGACCAAATTRCAAGAACTACTTGTTCCACTCTCTTCTGGCAGAATTGCCCTGACGCTACTAAAAGTAAAGGGTAAAGATGAGGCCCAGTAACAGATCCCACTACATTAATCTAATTTAGATCCCACATAAGTCATTCTGTACAAACATTTATCCAAGAAAACAACCCAGGATGCCCACAGATCTGCAGCTACCTTTGATAACACCAGCTGAGTGTCAGACTCCCTTGGACTTTCCCACATCCCTCACTACAGGAGTGTCCAACAGTCAGGGCCCCAGTGCTAAGCTGGGGATGAAATATTTGTCTGAGCCAAGTGCAAAGACCCCCTAAATATTTAAAGAGTGRTTTCAAGTTGTTCTGTGTCACTGAGCCACTTCCCAATGCAGATTYCCATCTGTGACAGACACCCCTGCATCCTTCAGGAATCACATAATCAAAGATGTGAGGAAACAGGCCCAGGTTTTCTGCATCCAGAACAGCATCCTCTGCTTTCAGACAGTCCCAAAGGCTGCCTTTCCAGCCATGCCCCGAGCTGTGTGTGTTTGTGTGAGTGCAACCCTTGGACCACACCAGTCATTCTGGTTCCTCCCAGGAGCCATATCCCTTCTCCTCCTGGGTGAAAAGAGCAGCATCAAGCTCTCTTCCAGCTGSAGTGTACTGTCCCCAAACCAGCCCTAACTGCAGGTTTCAAACCCTGCCTTTGCTCCTTCCACATTGGTATTAGAAGAGGTGATGAAATACAAAGGAAATTCTGCACATCAGGGCAAAATTTTGCACTGTTTCATGTTTCCAAYGATTTCAGACTGGTGTGGCACCCAGCATTTCCACCCCATGACCATGGTTATTTCTGGTCACTGGTTGTCAAGGAGTAAGGGGACCCAACCCTGGGGCAGTCCCAGAAGGGAACCCTCCACCCAGCTCARCCAAAGCCTGGTCTGACATGAATCAGGGTTTTCAAGGGACCGGAGATCATGGGTTTGCCCATCAGGGCGGCCCCTCTGTTTCTGTTTCCTGTTTTGGCAGACATTGGGGGTGAGGTTTTTCCCTGCTACCATGGGCTTCTTAGAAAAAGGAGGCCCAGAGAGGAAAGTGGCAGATCAGCAGACAGGATGCCGGCCAAAAAGCATGGACCAGAAGAAGCATCTGTTCTCCAGCGCTGTGCCAGCTCAACTGGGCACCTTCTTCCAGTGTTTTACCACCCTCATCATTAAATAAGTCTTCCTAATCTATAATCTAAATCGACCCTTCTTCAGTTCAAAACCATTACTCTTGTCCTATCACAAAAGGCCCTGCTAAAACCTTTGTCCCCATCTTTCTTAGAGCCCCCCTTCAAGTACTGAAAGGCTCAGTAAGGTCTCCYACCCACAAATGGAACAGTTTCGGAGGCTTTGGGGTAAGGAAAGAAGCCTGTCTCTCCCAGTCCCTAAGCAGGGAGTCAATCCCCACTCTGCCGGTGATGGATGGTATTGATGTCTACTGGGACTGCCATGAGTCTGCTCTGGGGGAGGCACGATGCAGGACMCAGACACAGGTGGCTGTTCTTTCAGGAGTGCACCTCACCCCTGAGAGCCTGCTGGTGGCAATGCCCTGCTCAGAAAGCAAAGCTTTCAAGAATCATGGAATATCCTGAGTCCAAAAGGATCTACAGGGATCATGAAGTCCAGCACCCGTTTCTTCACTGGACAACCTCAAAAGTCACACCATGTGTCTGGGAGCATTGTCCAAATGCTTCTTGAACTCTRACAGGYTTGATGCYGTGACTGCTTTCCTGRGGAGCCTGTTCTATTGCCCTGTTCTATCACTATTCTGGGTGAAGAGCCTTTTCCTGATATCCAACCTAAACCTCCCCCGACACAGCTTCAGGCCATCCCCTTGGGACCTGTCACTGGTGACCAGAGAGAAGAGATCRGTGCCTGCCTCMTCTCTTCCCCTTTGTGAGGAGGCTGTAGGCTGTGATGAGCTCTCCCCTCRGTCTCCTCTTTTCCAGGCTGAACAAGTCAAGTGACTTCAATTGCTCCTCATATGGCTTCCCCTCCCGACCCTTCACTATCTTTTTTGCCCTCCTTTGGATGCTCTCTAAYAGCTTTATGCCTTTCTTCTATTAAGGTGCTCCAAACTACCCCCAGCACTCGAGGTGAGGCTGCCTCAGGGCAGARCAGAGCGGAACAATCTCCTCCCTTGCCCACCTGATGATGCGGTGCCTGATGYCCCCYCTGCACATGGTTGGCCCTCCTGGATGCCAGGGCACTGCTGACTCATGTTCAACTTGCCGTCAACCAAGACCTGAGGTCTCTTTCCTCATTCCCCAGGCTGTTTGTACATCCAGAGATGACCACCCCAAGTGCAGAATATGGCATTTTTGGAGGCACCTGCTCTCTATCCGAGAGAGACGGTGGGTTTCCGAGCCTGCAATGGGACACATCACACAGAGAAGYCCTCGGGCAGTGAGCCCAGGGTGCYGCATTCACCGGTGTGTCGGGACAGGGCGCCGGGGTCAGCTCCTCTGCAGGGACCGGGCCAGGCACTCCGCTSTCCGTGACTTTCCCCGCCAGAGGGGATTTCTGGGTTCCCTCTGCTCGGGGGGAGGTGCAACTGGAGTTTCCCAGCAGCCGGGTCCCGCCCCCACCCTCCTCCCTTATAGCCGGGCTGCCCCGGCCGCGACACAGACCCTGTGATAGAGCCGGTGACACCGGTGACAGTGCCAGCGCCGCTGTCCCGCAGCCAGCCCCGCCGCCCGTCCGCCGCCGCCCGGGAGCCGCCGCAGGGTAAGTCAGTCAGTGYTCCGTGCCGCCTGCCCGGAGCTCGGGTCTTTGCCCTTCCCCGTCGGGCTGGCGTCTCTCCCGCTTCTCCCGAGCCGCTGTCCCGCTCCCGACACTCTTGTGGCAAGTTCGAGGAGCTCGGAGGCTCCCGGCTGGGTCTGAGAGCGGGGAACGAGGGGCAGATGCTGAAGGGTGGGTTGCCGGACACAGGACAGGTTTTAGCCCCACCAGAATTAATTAGAATGGGGAATAAATCGCACCGCTGGCAGAAGGACAGCAGCTCCGGGCATATCCCAGGGCTGGACACCGCCAGGGTGTGTGCCTTGCAGTTCCATTTTGACAGCTCAGTCTGATTTCTGCTGCTTTTCCCCAAAATTTCAGGGCACAGGCTGCGAGCAGTGACTACTGTAAACCGTTCCCTCAATTCCTATTCCTCTGCCTTCCAACAGCTTTCCCAAAATCCACATGTAGGTCTTGGGCACCAAAGCATGCTATACCCAGATCTGGTACTGGGTTCCAGATACAGCGTGGCATTTCTGCCCTCTCCTCTTTGTCTCTATTCCAAGGAAGTGGTTTTYCCCCAAACCACAGGAAAATTAATTGGATTATGATTCACTCATCTTGGCTGCACTGAAAAAACACCATTTCAGAGCCTGGACTCTGGATGGCCCCTAGCAGCCCCTGTGACTTGCACCCTGCCAGGGTCTCTGTGCTAAGCTGGCACATTACTGAATTGCCATGCTTGCCCTTTTGTGACTGKTTTTTCCTAGTCAGGGAAGTCCCACAGCCCCTAGGACTTGCCTTTTCCTGTAGCACTGAAAAGCCTAGAAATTCCCTTCTATCCTTGTGCAGCAGCACCATATCCACTGCATCAGCTCCTCAGCACAAATTGAAAAGTTCAATCCCGGGGTTARAATCCTTGGTGTGTTTAAAGGATTTCTTTTTGAGGCTGCTGCAAAGAAAGGAACACATTTTCTGTGACTGGAGCATATGGCTGACCTAGAAGCCATGGTCCTTCACCATTATACCCAAGTTCAGAGCAGAAAACCTGAAGAAACATTGATTCTCCAAAGTATCAGCTGCCTGCCCCCACCAAGGGATTTTGAGGCTTTCCAGTTCTGAGAGAGCAGAATCAAAAGGGAGCAGAGAGTTCAGGTTTGGGTTTGCTTCATTCACCCTCTCTATAAAAAGATGCCTGAAAAGCCAAAGAATTTGAAAGTGCTGAGAGAAGCTCCCAGGGAATTTGTTTATCTTCTCAGTTGCTGTTAGCTCTAGCAGAGAACTTTGCAAACTCCAAGCCTTAAAGGGGGATTGGCTTTGGAACAGTTTTATGAAAACAAAACTCTAGACAGCAGCAGCTGGTTTCTCTTTCAGCAGCAACAGTTCAAAGTTATGTTTGAACTGAGATTCGAAGCAAGAAGAAAAAGAAGATTATTACAGTGCATTCTCTGCTTTTTCCCAATAACAGTATATATATAAAATCTTTTGCTGTTTGAAAAATTCTCACTAAYATCAGGACATGTTGATTTACAGGACTGTTTTCAGATTTACTGTGTGTCAGTAATCTAGGGAAATCAAATTCTCATTTGGAAATGACTGATGCACTGCAAAGCTCTATATCCACATGGTTTAATGCTGGCTTAAAGCATGTCTCACACCAGGTGAGATGCCCTGGAATCATCTGCCTCCTCTGCCACTGCCATTCCCCTGAATCCCTTGRGTTCCCCATCACCTCCAGCCCTATAGGGGCACCTGGTGATGCTGAGGCACATGGATTGAGTCTCTYGGAGAAGCTCTGCTCCTACCTTGGCTTCTTTACTGGAGACAATTTTTGTTTCCCCTCAGCTCCCCGYTAGGAGCAGAGCTTGGCCACCATGAGGATGCTGCTGGACCACATTGGCTGGTGGGTGTCTCACAGGGGTCTGCAGAGAGGAGTATGGATTTGAGCAGCACAGTGAAGTGTCAAGATGGGGTTCTGGGTGGCCCAGCTCTTCTATGGACTGGGATTTCCCAGGCAGAACCAAGTGGGAGCCCCCAGCTTCATGGTGTCTCCTTTCAGTACTTAATCCAGACAACAAAAATTGTAGGAAAAAAAACCAAAAACATCTCCTAAGAGGGGTCCCAACTTGCAAAGATTGGGTCTGGCATCTCTTAAAATTAATCAAAGACTCTTTCTTTGATTAATTGGCAGTTTATTTAGGTGWCACCACTTGGTCTGAGGCACACTAAACTAACTGCACTGCTCTCCGGCCTCAAAGATGTCTTGGCCCTGTGCAATTTTCTTGTGTGGGCAGGGATGACCACACTTCCATAGGGAACAGATGGGGAGAGACATGGCTGATGCAAAAGCAGAGAATGAACTTTGCTAGATGACTCTGGATTTCTGAGAGGCTGTGGGAGAGTGGGAGATTTCCACTCAAATGAGATATAAATCCTCATGATCTAGGATGTCAGCAGGCTCAAGAGGACCACAAATCCAAACAAATGCTTGTTAATACTGGCAGCAGCTCAGGAAAAAGAAGTCAAGAGAAAGATCAGCAAAAAATTTCAGAATAGGGGTAATTAATAAATYTGTTCCCCTGAGTGCTCTCTGGTACACCATGAGCTGCCCTTTGCCAGTGAGCTCATTCTGCGTGAAAACTGTTTCCTTTGAGSAGCAAAAAGGGGAAATAGGAAGCCACTGAGCCCAGAGTCCAGACTGGGTCCCTTTGTATTGTGACTTTGCTCCAAGTGTTTCCCTCACCCTTGCAGCCTGTCCTAGAAAAGCTCGGAAGTTGGTGCTGTGATCAGCAGAGAGCTCGCTGTATCCCACTACAGCTGCACCAGCAGTCACAGCACCAGTGTCCCAGTGCTGCAGGACCTCTGGACAAGGTGGCAGAGAATGTTCTGTGAGCTGTGCTGCTCTTCTGGTTGGAAACCAGAAGCTGAATATACTGGGGCAAAAATAATTGGAGCTAAAGGCTCCCCTGGCACAAACCATATTGCCACATCACAATAATGAGGATGACGATGATAAYAGTAAATTAGTAATAACACTGCGTTGGGAACAACGTCAACTCTTGACCTCAAATAATTACATTTCCTAAGATTTGAATTTGAGCTCTGTGCCTGGGAAACAATTTAGCATTTTTCCTGCTAAAAAAAAATTAGGCTCCCGCTGGAGTTTTAACAAGCTTTGATTTGTGAGAAGAGCACAGGCATRCGGGAGCAGCCTGTGGCCATGTGAGCCAGAGCTGAGTTCCTGAYGTGTCCTGTCTGCTGCAGTGGGCAGGAGCACACGCTGATGGAGGCAGAAGGTGCAGTGCTAGCACAGGGTGCCCTGCCTGTGCCCCCCAGATGTAACCAGTACCACCTCCTTTTAGCTGAGTGTTTCTTGTAGAAATTGGGTTTTTTCTATAAGAAAGTTTCTTAAAGGCATTTCTTACACTAAGTGCTTGGCTGTCTAACAATAAAGAGAAGACATGGACGAGGAGTTTTGGTACCATTTGGCTTTTAGATTGAGGCTGCATTTAAGGGCAGAAGTGGGAGCTGGGGTCTACCAGCATTTCCTGCTGCAGATACAAACATAGGTTTACTAGCAGTGGCACATGATGATCACTGGGCAAGAGTTCAAGCTGGCCAAATGTTAGTGAGCATGGCAGCTATTGCATTGACAGYCTTCGGTGCTTGAGGCTGGTTCTTTTTGAGCATGACCAGGACAAAGTTCTGACAAATGTTAAAATTCAGCTTTTAACCAGCTTAATCATTCCCTTATGGACTCTTGGATGTGTTGTGTCACTTTGATGCCTTTCAGAGATACATTGCATTCAATTTGGCACTTAAGAAGAACCAAAACTATTTGAAGTCCATCTTTGTGATCATCATTCATCAAAATGAAAGACCTTAGGCTTTTGGAAATGGAAAAGTACTTTCTTTGGTTAGAAAACAAACAACAAAAAAAAAAGCCCAAYAAATACTTTGAAATAATAGGAGAGAGAGAAAAGACTCAGCTGAGTTTGAGTCTGTGCTTGAACAAACAGGAAGAAGGGGATTTGGCAGAATTAATCTAAACACAGTGTTGTATTGGGAAATGCAGGTTAGGAAAAGAGCTCTACAAAAATTTACAAAGTCCAAGTGACTTACAGAGCATGCCTGTTTACCATTTTTTTAGTTTGGTTGGTTAGTTGTTTTTGGGGTGTTTTTTTTGTAGTGGAAATGTAACAAAAAGGAACTCTTTTCCACTGTTTTCAAGATTCTAATGGGGCATCCTGAGTAGCATAGACGGAATGAACTGTGGGGAGTTTCCTTCCTCCTCCATTCCTCAGTGTATGTGCTGGGAAAGTCGTGGGTGCACAGATTCAGCCATGGCACTGCTGCTGGGTAACCTGGGATCAGCTCAGGTTTGAGTGTGGGGCTAATAATGCCTTGGTTGTGCACTCAATCCCTGTATGGGCCATTCACTTAAGAGTTTGAATTGGTGATCCTGTGGGTCCTTTCCAGCTCAGACTATTCTGTAACTCCTGTCAGCTATACTCAGGTACTCAGGCCCCCTTTGTTTGCTCATGTGACTGTGCACACACCCTTCCCTCCCACTCTTTCCCAAAAGAGTTTTCATCTTCATTGTGTTTAAAGAGTCCTAGCATTACCAATCCTGAATGTGGCCTGGCATCCAAAGCAGGGGGAAGGAAAGCTCTCAGCAAAGCCAGGCTCTCCCTGCTCTCTGTAACACCCAGCTGCTACCACTACCTTGACTCTTCAAAGCTCTCCAAGCTGCCAGAAGCCAGCAGGAGGAAACACATCTAAAATGAGAAGCCACAATCTTCCAACCAGTTTTCCCAGAAAGAAGTATCATGTTTTGTATCAGCATGACTCAGGATAAACTTAACCTATCAACAGGATAAACTTAACAAGGGTATTTGAAGATCACTACATTGTGGCCTTATAACTGAAACCAAATTCTTCCTTTATCTAAAGTCTAATTTTTCTGCCATTAGTCAGTACAAATAAACCCAAACTTGCCTGAGAGTTCTTCATACGGAAGTGCTTCAGTCTCCTAGGCAGTCTCTTTAAATAAAGTGTTGTTAAAATGAGGATCGGAAATGAGTCACTTTATTTATTTGCAATAATTGCGTAATTATAATCATAATACAAATGGTTATAGTTATGCAAATAAATATGTAGTAATATATTGAATTATGGAGGGACACAATCCTAAATATGAATTCTGAAAAGGTGTTGTAAAAATAACAAATTTCTATTGTTAATTATTTGTAGTGTAGGAATGTTGGTGGTAAAGAAGGACTCTGGCAGGATAATATCTGTTTAAACAAGACTAAATCACCTTCTCATGCCTTGTTCCCACTTTCCCTGAGAATAGCTCAGGAAAAAAACTCCCCGAGGAAGGTGGGAATTGATCCCAATGTCATATAGCAATATGAGAGTTTTGTGGTTGCTTTGAACAGGCCCAGGACTTTTGTCCCACCTGCATCATTCATGTGGTCCATCCACACTGATGTTCATAGTCACATGGCATCCTATGGGAGAGCTTGACAAACTCAAGGTCTCAAATGGGAACACCTGAATCACCCTTAAAATGACTCTTTGATTTTCTATAAGTTAGACCAGAGAGCTGCTTCCATTCTCTTTGTTACCTGGAGTGGTGGTGCTCAGGGGCTCACATCAGACACGTAGCATTCTCCATGTTGTCCATACACATGCCTTGCCACACTTTCTCCTTGGTATTGTTCTTGTTAACTGTTATAATCTGATATTTCTTTTTTTTTTTTTTTTTTTTTTTTTACAGGCTAGAAGAAAAATGATGAAAATGTTACCTTTTTTCCAAAGTGGTCCTTTTGGAATACGCAATGGATCAGAGGGTTGCATTGGTGCAAACAGTCAGTTTGAAAACCCTTCAGCACCAGCAGCTGAGCAGATCCCTGCCTGTCCTGAACATTCTGCAGACGAGATCTGGTCYAGGGACCAGGAGAAGATGAGTGAAAGGCCAGAGGCAGCCTGCAGAGCTTCACGTGCCTCTTCCACCACCAGCAATGAGAGCTGCATCTCTGCTGGGGAMAGCCCTGAAAAGGGGAACAAAGGAATAAAGGGAATGCTTAAAAGTGCATTTAAGATAGTAAAAAAGACCAAGCCACCCAGTGGTAAGTTCTCCTCCATTCTCCTTGTACTACCTCATGGGCCATAGTTACCTCTAGAGGARCTGCATGAGGTGGAGAATTGTTCCCTGGAGAAACAAAGGTACTGAAAAATTGAAGTGACTTTTCCAAGAACTGGGGGGGAAACTGGGCTGAAGGAGATAKGACCTAAAGTCCTAGTCCTTTGGTACCAATGGTACAGTTCTTGAGGAACTGTCAGTTTGCAGGTTTTCTGTCCAAAATAAAACTTATTTCTGCCTCTCATGGAGGCAGAGAGACCTGTGGGTGGGTGAGCAACCAAGATGTAACTCTCAGTTCTGTTCCTCCATCTCCTCCTACAAAGTCTCATTGTTTTAGTACAAATTATTTCCTTTCCAGACAAGCCTTTACCTGTCTAGTTGGCRTCTCTTTCTCTATGTGTCAAATGTTTTCTCTAACTGGTGATTTTCTGTCTTAGYCTTGAACTTGCTGCTGAAAACAAGCTTTTTGTACATTTGTTCTCACCCCTATATTGCCCCATTACCAATGTCTTTTGGTTTGTTGGTGTTTTTTTTTTAAGCAACCAGAATTTTTAAAGCAATCAGAATTGCAGAAAATATTCCAGATGAGACACCCACCAATGTGTGGTACCACATATTACCATATTCCTCACTGAGTACATCCTGGGGTCAAAACTGACATGTTCACCATCACCTCCCAGTAAGGATTTACTAATTCTCCAGACGTCTCTCTTCCTCCTCCATCTCAAGCTGATTCACATCCAGCTTGCAGCAGAAAATCCTATTTGTTGCTAAGTAACTTTTGTTCTATTGAATTTTTATCTTGTGTTTCATGCCATTAAATTTCAGTCCATTTACTATTCAAGTTACCCCATTGTTCCTGTAAAATACACGAACCCTCAGTTTTCATAATGTCTCTGAACTTTGTGTAATCAGCAGATGTCAATAGGGCACTCCCAGATTTTGTTCCATAATCTCTAAGGACAATATGAAGTAAGATGAGTTTCAAGAATAATTTAAGATTTATCCACCCAGTGTCCTCCATGCAAACATTACACACCTAACTAATCTTATTTTGGGATATAACTTCATTTTAACTATCAATTTCCCAGGTTGCACTGTCTCAAGTAACAGAGACAATCTTCAGAGAAGGTTGTTCAATTGTATTTGCCTTGCCTACTGAATGTGAAATTGTCCCAAACAATTTCACAGGTCAGGTTGTCCCAATCTATTTCTGGAGTGGTATTTCCTTTAGCACATCTTATTTAGTTACATCTTTCCATCTACATTATTTCTAAAACCATGCTTCTGGCTTGAGATCATAGTAATGGGAGGAGGGATAAGCAATAACTAAATAAATAAATATCTCCACAAGGCTAAATTTTGGAAAAAAATATAGATGAGTCATGAATAGCTATCCATATGCAACACACTGTGATGAGTATTCAAATTTCCATTGCCCCAGTTAAAGGCAAGCTAGAAATAATCTGATCTTTAAATAAACAGATTTTCTATATGGTGAATGAGCCYAAGAGCTAGCATTTTGGAAATATAAGCACTTAAAAAAAGAAATTCCAGAGCCATAGGTTTTTATAAAACAGAAATTTAAATCTTCACTCCTGGGTAAAGAAAGTATGTTCTTTTTCTACCAGTCAAACAAGTCATKAATCTCCTCGGAGAGCAAAAGCTTTGTGATGCCATTCAACATCTGTTTGTCCTGGAGAAGAGCCTGTCTTGCAAAAGTGAGGAGGGACTGAACACCAGCCAGAAAGACATCGAGTCTGTCTATGAAGTTCTGAAGCACAAAGTCTTCAGCATCTTGAAAGATTCTGTGCTGCTTGCAAAAACAAACCCAGACCTGCTGCAGCAGGCAGTGGAGGCTCTGAAGGAGCAGGAGAAAGAAGATCAGAACTACATGTCAGAGAATCTACCTGACCAAAATATGCAATTCAGACCTAGAAAATGGAAAGAACTTTGGATGGCTACAGTAAAGGAGTCGGTAGAGGCTCGAATGAAAGACACAAGCCGTACTCCTAGAACTGAGAACCTCTCTGCAGTTGGCCAGAACCTCCTGCACATGGGAAAGACAATGAAAGAAGATTTAACAGTGGTTGCCAAGTACATTAAACAGCTTTATCCTCCTGAGTTTAATGTGTTCGGCATATACGCAGAACTCTACCACAATTATTTTGCCTCAGAGGCAAAGAAAAATGCTGAGTCTCATCTGGAAGACAAAGATATTTACCTTCTTCTCTCATGGGTGCACAACTTTTATCCAAAGTAAGTGAAGCTTTTATACATCCTTACCCCTGGTGATTAACACAGGCTCATTGGCTGCAAAACCAGGCATTTGCTTGATTTGTGAATTGGTATCACTGCGATATAGTCCAGTACCTGGCTAAGTTCTGGTGTCACTGATGATGTGCTGATTCACATTCTGGCCAGGATAGCCAGAAAGGACATACTCAGGACTGCTAGTCTGGTCTGTAAATGATGGMTGTTCCTGCTATTCTGGCTTCTGGGCAACAGACACACAGATGTTTAGGGCTTCACTTGTGGTGTAAATTGGTCAGGTTCACTGTTTTGATATSTATTCCAGAGGCCTCGGCTCACTCTTGGAAAATTTAGAAATTTAGGCCCTTTGTATCAGAGACAATCAATAGAACAAACTGAAGATGCAGTTTTCCTGGGTATGGAGGATGTTGCTTAGGTGTTACCCACTGTCCATCTTTTCCTRGCCTTTAGGACACCACCAGCCAAGGGTCCCCACAAACCCTGTGTGTTATAGAACTGAAAACACTGCTTGTTGTGGCTAATAGTACTGGGTGGTGAATTAAGGGCACTCATTTTTCAGGTGGAAACCAGTAAAGACACCAGCAATGTTTCTTCTGTTCTAAAGTCATTCAACCTTCACCTCCACTTTTTCCTTATCGTATTTACTGATGTAGTATAATGATTCAGTGTTGATCCTGGAAGTGTTCCGCAGCCAGTGTTATGCTCTAGGTCAGGATATTCAGGCCTGAACCAGCCTRTGTTTGGAAATCAGCAGTTGTGAGGAGCAGGGCTCAGCCAGAGCAGTGCAGCTGACACTGGGGACAGTGTTGGCCAGGGCTGCAGCTRCTTCCAAAGTGTTCCAGAGGCCACGTCCAGGTGTCTGCTGAGGGACCACCACCAGACCATGAAACACCAGCTTTTCATCAGCTCCTCTCTCTATATTGATGGAGAGAGGTCATGCCCAGGGACTAGATCCTCCTGCTTGCTTTGTGTCTCCCATCCCCACCAGAGCACACTGGCTGGTACTCGGGAGTTTGACAGACCATGACTCCCAGGGTTACTTGTGGTCCCACCCTCACAGATTTCACCTCTGGCACATATTCATAYAGCTTCTCCAAGTCCTGCCTGGACTAAGGACAATGTACATTTCCATCTGTTTTTTCACTGATATACTCAAAAAGTGTTAGTGATTTGCATCAACAACTGTCTTGAATTACACTGCCCTTGGAAAATAGGATTGTTTGGCTTTTTTCATTCCAGAGAGATGAGAAAAGATCAGGCTTTAGCCATGGAGTTGGATAAAGTTAAGCTTGGAAGCCTTTTGCCATCAAGTCTGAGCAAAGAGCTTGAAAAGAAATACCTTGACAGTGAAGAGGTAAGAACCTGTTCCGTCACTCCTTCCCTTTACTGCTCCCATATGACTCCTCGGAGAAGCTGTGACTTGCCCTGCCTGCACACTTCTTCACCAGTGAGCCACACACCCTACACACCCTTCCAGGGAGAAGCAAAAGCTTTTGTTTGTTTTTGAGGGACAGGTCACCTTTCTGCTAGATGGGACTCGCAGAGCAAACTTCTGCTTAGCCCTGAAAGCCATGAGAAAAGAACTGCGCTGTTCTTATAAACCATGTGGTAGGAACAGGGGGAAAATACAACAACAGATCTTTATGGGCAATGCTCCAGTTGTCTGATAAGTCTCCAGAAGGATTTATAATCATTCTCACAGGAATCTCTGAAGGATCTTGGATTATTCCTGGTTTCTCAGAGGTAYCAGACCTTTGGTGAATGCCAAGTATGGAGATCTGGTCTTTAGAAATCTGTTTCTTTGATGGAGAATCACCTGGTCTGCAGAAAAAAAAAGTGCCTGTTTTTTGTATCATTCTTCCCTTAATGGAAACAAGAAGCAACTTTTACAGTACTCCCATAGCTTATGRTTTTTGGCATCTGGGACTGGAATTCCTGGAAAATGAGAAGATAAGTTCCAAGTTTAAATGTAGTCCATGATGGTTTGCATATGGCAGAGGTGGTGTGAGGTCTGCAGAGCGCATGAACGGGGCACTGGGGGATCAGCAATACGTGCCAGACACTGCACAGACCATTTCCAAAGCCTCACTGCAGCACAGAGGGGTCTGAGCAGAGAAAACTTCAGACCATTTTGTTTCACTCTTCAATGCTTGTGTGGCATCAGAAGTTCTCATGAAAAAGGATTGCAAAACCAGGTAGCACMGAGTGTGACACACAGGCAATGCGTGGTTGGGGGAATTTGGGCCCTAGCACACGTAGCTGCTACAACCTTCGTACTCACTGCTCCCCTCCCTGCCTTCCTGATCCCCCTGATGTGGTGGTGTGATGGGCAGGGACAGAGATCTTGATCTTCATTTCTACCTTGAAATACTCAACTCACTATTGCATAGGTGGATATCGTGAGGGGGTTGCTCTTGTAGCTGTGAAGTCGTGGGTCAAGCATCTCCTAACAATGAGCCTTTTTTTCCCAGCCAGGGCTGAGGAAAWGTCTGCTGAGCCAGGCAAAATGTGGGTGGGCAAATAAAACCTTCATAAGTYAGGAGCTGTTGCATGGATGTTGTGGTAAATGCTGTTGTTCTTCCTTCCTTAAAGGTTACTGTCAAAAATTCACTGAGCAGATGTTTAGATAAAGAAATCCAGACATGGAAAGAAGACAAAGAACCAGAGAAGCTAAATGGGCATTTTCAGAGTGAACTACTAGGAATATTTGTTATCCAGGTAATTCAGAGTTATGTTAAAAATAAACAATTGCATCTTTTACCTACTTAGGATTTGAGACCAACTATGGTCAATGCAAAAATGGAAAAGGMTAAGTCATTTGTGTAGAGTGGTAGCAGAGGTGTATGGCACAGGGATGCCCAAAGCTGTGGTCTGACGTGGGCCTGAGGTATCATGTGATGGAAGCAAACTCCTCTGTAAGCAAAGCGAGAAGGAAAACAGGGAGAAGGAATTTTCCCTCTGCAGTCTCTTCTGTACCTGCAGCAGCAGAGAGACAGGAGACAGGCTGTCGATTGAGAAATGGAATTTGTTTCTTGCTCCCAGGGAGACTATCCCAGCCAGAGCTGCCCCTTCCCACACTTAGCGCTCTCCCTCTTCTGGCTACAGATGTTTAGTTGAGTTTATTTCTAAAAAATAAACCTCTCATATGTTGAGGTCATTGTCATTAAATTGTTTCTTTAAGTGCAATCTTAGACATCTTAAAAAAAAAAAAAAACAAGAAGGAAACAAAACCAAGTGTCAAATTGCCTACTTTCTCAACTGTTTTCTAGACTTTCTTCATGCTTCTTTTGTACTGACCAAATAAGTAGCTGCTTTTTATGGTCCCTGGCTCAACTGGGGCAAGCAGGAGAGCTGGGTGCATTTACCTCAGTAAAGGATCTGCAGCGTCTTGACCCAGCAAACCCAGACTTTTTGGAGCAGGTGACATTTTAAAATTATCTTGCTTGTTTGTTAGAGTATCTACAGTGGCCAGAAGCGAGCTGAGGACATCAGCAAGGCCGTGGGTGAGGAGCTGTCCCGCCGGCTGCTGAAGGAGCTGCCCACCTTCCTGAGGAGGTGAGGTGATGAGGGGGCTGCAGGCAGCGGGGTGGGCACAGCACCTGGGCAGCCACTCACCCTCCTCTCCTCTTCTCTTCCCATCTCCCCTCCAGCTACAGGGATGCCTTTGAGGACTTCAAGGAGAAAAGCAAGAAGCACAGATACTACAAGCCTATACTGATTGCAAATATTAACTGCTSCTGGAATTTTAGGTAAGGGTCCAAAAGAAAAAACTGCTACTTCCTCTGCAGGCAGCATATAATAGTGTGATAGAGGGRAGGTGCTCCAGAGTGAGCAGAGGTAGGTGCATCGGCCTGCAGACGAAGGTTTGGAGACCTCTGAATTTCTCTCTCTCTCCTCTGAGGACAGACTATTCTGACTTGGCTGATATTTCCTTGCAGAGAATACACAGAGAAATACGTGGCAGAAAAAGATGACAGTAAAGCCGATATCCTCAGCACTCTGGCTGATATTGAAAACAGTGGCTTTGACGTGCTGCTTCAACAGCTGTTTGCCCAGCTGAAGGTACCACCTCCATGCCCCACACCCTCCTGCCCCGTGGCTCTCCTGCCCTGCTATCTGTYGCTCAAATCTCTGATTCAAATCAGCCAAGTTCAGAAGGGGCCAGGGCACAGGATCGGTCCTAACCCACGCTGCTGCCAGAAAACTCCCAATAAGATCTTGAGCTGGTCCTCAAACTGCAGGCAAAATGGGTGCAGTGACACAGGCATGACTGTATAGGTGAACATAAAAYCTGCTGATCTCATCTGAGACAACGGCTGCAGCAGGGAGAGTCTCAACCTGCAGCTGTTTACTCTCACACTGGAGGAAGTCATCACTAACAGCATAAAATGCAATTACGCAGCTTTTGGCTTCCCCATAAAGGTGACCCGAAGGGCGTTTTTGTACTTTTGGCTTCCTTTTTTTTTTTTTTTTTTTTTTGTTTTTATATATAACACAATCTTTTCAAGTTAAGCAATTTAGGTGAAGGAGAAGGAAGTGTAGGAGTCAGGAATGTTCAGCCACAGTCTCTCCTGCTTTTTCTGTAGAGCCTTTTGGAAGGCATGAGAGAACAGGGGTGGGATTTTTTCATTTTCCTATTTATTTACTGTGGCTGAGAAAAATTATGATTGAAAATATCTCATAAGGATTATATTTTTTCTCCTGATGATTCTATAATTCTCTAATCAAACAAGATGGTGAGTATAAAGCAAAAAAAAAGCAGAAATAATAAAAACACCTCCAATATGAAACTTTCAAGCCCTTGGTCTTCTCCACCCTGAGGAACCAAGAAGGGGACACAGCCCCTTGTTGCCCTGTCCCTGTACAGGATCACCACACATCCCTGCACAGGACTACAAGCCATGCTCTCGCTACATAGGATACTCTACATGTAGAAATGACAAATATACAGGTGTGTAGAATTTGTTTGAGGTAACTTAGCAGATTTTCCTTTTTTTCAGCCAATGTACAAGAAGTTTACAGAGAATAAGTGGGACTCCAGCAGTGAAATTATGAATGAGATCATTAAAACCACCAGCAAACATATTTCAGACTTCCAGACCTTAAAGGACCCGTTTTACCAGGTAAGTCTGAGAGAAATATTGGAGGTATTCTGGGATGCTGAGGCTGCGTTTTCATCTCTGAGCGTCTGTGGCTTGAGTTGCCTTGGCCTATATTGAGCTGATGAGATGGCCTGGCATCAGGAATCCTCTCAGGAAGGGTTTTCTTCAGCATGCATTTTACCCAGATTAGGCACATAAATATTACCCTTCTCTGACAGAAGCAGACTCCTGCAGCTCTGCTGCACTGTTTGCAGAGCAAAAACACCCCTGATGTAGAGAAAGTGCTTTAGAGACCACCCAACACGTGGCTTTATTTATGGATTTGGTTTAGCAATCTTGAAATACAGACACAGTTGCACCGCTCAGTCTCATTGCTCCTTTGATGGCCCTAGGACKGGAGGGGGTAGGACAAATCCCAGAGAACTGAGCCAGAATCAAATCCTCACTGGTGCTGGAGTATATATGAAATATCATCCTATTAGACAATATTTGATTTCCTGCCTTTGTCTTTTTAGTAGCTGAAACAAAAAATGATATTTTGTACATTAGAGAGAAAACAGGAAGAGCTGCATGAATTCCTTTTTCTCTGGAGTACTGCTACTCCTCTWACACACAGAGATCTTTTGTACACTTTAAACTCTTACCAGAAGGAAATGTTTGGAAACTCCCATATTAATTAGAGCACAGAGAAATTCTCAGCATCTGGGATGTGGCGTAACCAGTCTTGGGAGGTTATCAGMAGGGCTTTCCTGCTGTGTAATCAGCAGCAGGCATTGGTGGGGCATGTCTTAGAGCACCCAGGATGGTTTTACCCTCCATCCACACACGTGGCTTTTTCTGTCCCTGAGCAAAAGAGAGATGGATGATKGTTCCCTCCTCTGCTTCCCAACAGGCTATTGTCGAGAAGATCCACRCCCGTTTGGTTAAAGAGTATATTGTGAGGCTGCTGAAGAGGAAGGTCAGCCTGAAAACGCCAGCACAGCAGCAAGCTCTGGCCCAACACATCTCCAAGAATGCTGCTGACCTGGAAGCCTTCTGCACCAGCAATGTACGTGAGTACTTCTCATGAACACAACAGAACAGGGCACAGACACACTGAAAAACAGGAWAATAAATTCTAGGAACTTTCATTAAACTTTTCAACTCAGTTTAATTTCCTGGAAGGCAGGACAGGACCTTAGGCAGAAAGAGGTCTCTAAAAGTGCCTGTGGGTAGAAAGGCTCCCTTGTCARCACCCTGCCCCTCCTTGCTTGGAGAGACATTATTTCATCCTCCTTTGTCTCACAGGCAGTTTCCTTTTGTAGGTTTATATTAATAGGGTCAGAAGACATAGATAACTTTTTCCGGTTTCAGTACAGCTTCCAYGGAGCCTGGGTTTCCTCTCACCCTTGATTTCCCTCACACTGCAGCCAGGGGCTAAAGCAAGAAGTATGGGGTCTGTGGTACGCAAGGAATTCCTCCACAAGAGTCATAGCTGGTTCACCTCTCTCTGTCCTCTGTCCTACTTCCATGCCTCTAAATTTGCCTGCAAAAAAGGCTAACAGCTAAGCCAAACCCTGTCCTCCACCACTCCACATGTTTGACTGGAGAAGRAACAAGCCTGAGTTTCACAGTGTGTGTGGGAGGTCAGGCAGCTGCACTTTGAGAATTCCAATAGCCAGGAAAAAGCTCCAGTTGGGGGTACTGCCCAATTTTGGCTATAGCCGAGGATGCTAAAGACAAGGTTGTGTTTGGAGCTGGGGCAGAGCAGCACGTGGTAGTGAATCAGCCTTTGTACACACACTGGGCAGTGCAGGAACCCAAGGAAAGGGAAATGGGCYGAGAGAATCTGCTGATTCAAGCACTGAAAATAACCAGGCATCTAAAATCACTGATTCCTTTCCTCTTTTCCTGCCTGGAAACAGCCTCAGGAGCCAGCTTGCACCCCCATGATGTCCTGCTAACTACCTTCTCTTTTCACAGGGATCTCAAGCCAAGTGGCTGAATTCAGCACTCCCCAAACTGGCTGAAATAATCCGACTTCAGGATTTAGGTGCTATTAAAATTGAAGTTGCAACACTTGCCACAACGTACCCAGATATCCGGTAAGATATGCCGAAACAGATTTGCTAATACTCATATGGAATTTTAGGAATTAGCTAGGAATATAGGTKGGGTTCATATGGCCTAATCCTGTAAATATGGGTGGGGGCTGCCTGACAGGCCATGGCAATCCCAGTGCTATCAGAAAGCAAAGGAAATTATGAATAAAAACCTATTGATATATTCCAAATTCTGGCCTGATTTTCTCCTTTACCTTGGAGATTCCCTTTTCTAAYCCAAACATCCAAGCACAGTGTGGGGTCTTGTGTAGGACTGCCAGAGGCTGAGGTGGCACACACAAATGACGTCGGTGTGCTCTGCAAGATGGGGGCCAGATCCAGGTGCAATGKCCCTGACATGTGGAGGTGTGTGGGAGGAAGTAACACCTGCCCRTTTCTCTTCCACAGCAAAAGGCACCTGGAAGCTTTCCTGCATATCAAAGCCAATTTGTCACGCAGTGAACTCAAAAGCRTCCTGGGCTACTTGGCAGACAGCACAGCATCCACACAGCCCAGGGCCCCACTCTTCTCCAAYATAAACGTGTCCTAGACCAAGGTACCCCTTGGCACTGCCCTGTGCTGGACTGTGGGGTGAGCTGGGGATGGAGACCATCCCCTGAAGCGACGCACAGCACACACTGCCAGCTTTTCTGAAGGAAAGTGCTTTGCCCCAGTGTGGTGCTCAGCATCTTTGTGGGAATCACCGTCCTCCATGTGAGGCCGGGCAGAGAGTGCACCCCTGGGATGCCTGCAAGGACAAGGCTGCTCCTTGCACCAGTCATGGATTCCCCCCAGGGTCCCCTTGGTGCCACCACATTCTCTGCCTGGACACTGCCCTGGTGCTCTGACCTCTGTCTACCTCTCAGGGTGTCACAAAGGCTGCATCACTGACTCCCCAGCCAGCCCAGACCAAGCAGGCACCACGTGTGTAGCTTTTTGTCTTTTTAAGGAAATGAAGGAAAACAAAAACTGAAACCAAATTCAGATAAATTGGAAAAGTCCCATGGGAGCATGCTTGCAATCCATCTGCCTTCCTCAGAGCAGGGCAAAGCATCTGTGTTAGGCTGGTGGGAGAGGCACGAGGTTCTTGGTGAGGAGGAGCTGCAGTTCAGTCATGGCAGGGCTCCTGCAGGCCCCTTGRAGCAGCCCCAGGGGTGGGCTCTGACCAGGGCAGCAGCACTGCCCAGGGCCTCGGGGTTTCCAGTGGAGAACTGGCCCTGGAGAGCATGTGCTTCCTTCACCTCTGTGAGGTGGGAGCACCTGAGCCCCTGGCAGCCAGTCAAAATAGGGATACCCCATCCTGTGCACCTGCAGGGAGGGATACCCTGCTAACAGAGGCTGGGAGCAAGCTGCAGGGGYTAAGCCAGCATCTAGTAAAGCACTTTAAGTATTGCTGAAGCCCTCCTTATCACAGAGAACTTTTCCAGAACCCATTAACAACATAGGTTTTGAATGGGACATGGAACTGGTCTTGAACATCATCAATATGTATTGAGCACCCTGTGTGTGTCATCATTTTCTTGCTCACTCTTTCCTCTCTTGCTGTGAAGTAGATCTGATGTGAAAACACAAATGGGTCTCTTGCGAAACTGTGGTTTGTGTTGAACAGGCCAGTTAAGGGGGAAGCTAATCACTTATCAAAACAGCACTGTGTATAGTTGGAGACCTTTCCCTTCTGTTTTCCTCTATTTCAACTTTTGTATCAGTCTCTGGAAAGTCAGTCCAGAGGGAAGACACCCAATGACTGTGCAAATATATCACTATATAATGTATTTATATGCATATGCAGTATACTACCGGTGTATTTTTGCATCCRATTTTATTTTTTTCTCAGTTAGAGATATTAATTGCAATGTTTATAATAAACAGTATCCAAATATGCTGGAAAAGTGATTCATTTTTTTCTGGTTTTGGCTGTTGTTTACTGTGTTGTCACATCTATGTCCTGCTCCAAAGGGCCAATCCTTCCACTACTCCCAGCCTGCTCTGGTGAATATCACCCACTGATCCCAAGTAGGGACAGTCTTACTGGACTATGGCTGGAAAATTATTTCTACTGCCCCTATAAGATGGTCACTCACCAGCAGTGGCCAGTGGCACACATTGGCAGGAGTCCTCTGCCAACAGGTCCTTTGCCAACAGGTGGCAAAATTGTGCCTTGAGTGAAAAACAGTTTTAGTCTGCTGCCTGGCCACAGGCAGCGCTAACCATGCTCTCTTTCCTTAAGCACACTCACACAAAACTCAAATAGATACATGGTTAAAAAAWTAGTATTTAAACACTTATCTCTGCTACAGTTTAAAGCTAAATGCCAAAATGAGTTCTGACTGTGCTGAGCACTCATGACGACTGTCACCTATTGGGTAACATTTTCTTTCCCAATTAGTGAAAGGTCACTTTATTGCTATTAGAAAATGTATTTTGATTTAGAGATCTGTTAAAGGCCTACAGAAATGCATCATACAACTGATTGCACTGATCTTTAAAAAAAAAAAATCCAGCTAAGTAAGTGCCCAAAGGAAAATAGTGCATCTATTTATATATCATAATTAGCATGGGTAGGAGAAAATGGTTTTCATACACATTTCATAAGCCATATGGAAGTGYATTGTGCAAATCTCTTCATCCTGCTATAAAACCTCAGCTTTCATCTCTAATGAGTCCAGGAAACTAATTTATTTATCTTCCCGTATGACTCGACATTTACAATGGCATTTATTTATAGGTGGCATATTACACATAGCCAGGTAGTTTCAGAGGGTTGCACAAATGTCTTCTGATAACAGTGTTAGTTCAGTATGATAAGTAGCACTTTTATAAACTAACTAAATAAAATTTTCTGAGGTTGGTGTGGCTTGATTTTCTTTATCATGCAAGCTCGGCTAATGCTGATGGCTGCCCCTCCTTGGAGGCAGAGCAGATAGCCAAGATTAAAAAGATAAGGTCAGTTTTATAGAACAGTTAAGAAAGCTGATTCCTGGGCACAGCTGCTGCAGCATTACCAGCTCTCCCTGTTTGCTGTCATCAGTTCCCTCAGCACATCAGCCCACAACAGCCACCACAGTGTGCACAGGCTTGGCTTAGACATGCACTCACACACACTCCTGGCTCCCTACCCACCCATTCCACCTGGCACTTCCATCATTTGACAGAAGATTTGCAATTCACAGTGCAAAAGATGCAAGGACACAAACCACAGCATAGCAGGGACTGGTCCAAGGCATTGCTCCCTCCTCTTGCAGGAGCCACCWGTGGTGGGCCAAGCCCCCAGAGACACTGGTGGAACCTCTGCCCTCTCTACAGGGGAAGCCAAAACCTCCAGAGARCTTACAGATTCTCCCCAAGTGTGAGCACGATGGAATAAAAAAGCTGCAATGTTTTGTTAGAGCCCGTTGAGAAACTGGGATCTGCTGACCTGAAAATGCAGGGTTAAGAAGACAAAATGCCTGCAATTCCTTCCCTTAGAGCCTGGATGCTCTCTAAAATCCCCTGAGAAATGACAGCACTGCACTAAAGGCCACAGGATTAACTGATGTGCTGATTTTAAGAGAGAGACACACTAGAGCAAACTGGTTTGGGAGGTGGGCTTTCCCAGGTGGGCAGTCCTGGCTTCAGTGAGTGTCTGGATGACACAGGCATCCAATTGCTGTAAAGCAGGAAAGGTACGTGCAATTACATCTTCACCATGTGGCAACAACTTGTTAACACCCATTTTAAAATCCTGTATTTAGCTTAGCTAATATGAACTTCGATGGAAGAAAACCTGGAAACCCCAAYCCAATGGAAGAGACCTGAAGCCTGGAAATGCATGGAGCATCCCAAAGGAAAGGCACACCTGCAGGGAGTGGGACAGCAGAGCCTCCTTCCCAATGAGAATTAGGGCATGCAGGCTGCAGGACCTGGACCTCCCAGGATGGTTTCACTTGCTGCCCCAGGACCTGCCTCCACATTGCACAGCTTAGTTCAAAAGTCAGTGCTGGGGACCAAATGGGCAAGASCCGGCATCACTGAGCACCAGGAAGGAAGGATATTTTGGGAATGGGCTAGACACAAGTGAGCTTGAGTGTGCCACCATAAAATCATGCTTTCCTGTGCTGTAATTTAACACTCATGAGAGTAATGGCTGCCTTCCTGCTCAACTTAAAAGAGGATGTGGCCACACCACCACAATGATATCCCTGAAACACAAAATAGCTTTTCTSTAGCCATAATAATAGAGATGGCAGCTCATGTCAGGGGATTTCAAGAATTACTCATCAGTGCAGGGATCACAGATTTCCACTCATGTAAAGAAACAAATCCACACTGATGGGAAGAGAGGTGAATCCCACTTCCTAGGGGGAAACCAGAGGAAATGCAATGGAGCAGACACACGCATCAGGCTGCTCAAGGGTATGTTACTGAGGAAAAGTTAACTGTTTTTTAAAACAATATGAAGTTTTTAAGGCTACTATGAAGTGAATGTTCGCACCTGCTGGRCACCATTTCTTCTTGCTACCAGGGGCTTTCTCCTCTGGAAATCAGGTTTTTAAAAWGTCCTTTTGAACTGACGAACTTGGAGATTTCCCTACTGAGACGTTTTTCATCTCTTTTCTGGGTCTTTTCCTCAGGTGTTCAGTCCCTTCTTCCACCTTTCCACAAGTCACCTCATGTGTCCCAGAACTATTCAATGAGGGCCTGGGACCACATTGTCCCAATTCTCTCAACCTTCCATCAGATGGGACACAGGAAGGGACATTATGTACCAGCGCCCAGAAAAAAACATCATTTGAGGTCGAGGAATTCAGTGCTATTTATCCAAGTAGTTTTTATCCAAATACGACAGAGCACTTGAGCTGTAATAACTCTCATAATGGACTAATGAAAGAGGAAAACTTATTATTTAGCAGAARAGCTGAGCTCTCAAAATTACTTCTCTCAGAAGGGAGGAGGTTATAACAAGGCCTTAGGCAGAACAATATTGGTCCTGGAGTTTTCAAGGGATTTTGAACCTATCCCAAAGGCTTGAGGCCAACCCCCAAGTCCCACTGGCAAGAGCACTGCAGCTGAGAGCTCAACCAAGTGCACAGTTCAGAGAAAATCGCAGGATAAAGTTAACTGTGCTATGTCCTAGTTAACAGAGGGCTGTTTCTCCTCTTTGGTTTCATTGCAGCCCCCTTYACACCAAGGCTGTAAGAAGTGATGACAACCATCTGAGATGTGGGACAAGGATTGTCACCTTCATGCTCCTGCACATCAGACCTCTTTTCTCAGCCAGGGTCCCAACCCCAGCTTCTCTCACTGTGACATAGCACCTTCACAATCTGAACAGGGCTGTGAAGACCCAAATAGCTTGGTTAAAGCTAGCCATTCCCACTGTTCAAYATGTGGGGAATRACAGAGGCATATCCAGTACCCCAAGAGAGGTATTTAGCCCAGCAGGATCCTGGCAGCCACCCACTAGTGACATACTTRGRCAGACACTCKGGGWCCACACCAGCTTTGAGGCAAGTGGRTGTGAMAGGAAYGTCATTGCAGGGGTCACACTGCATTCAGAGGTGTCATTGCCTGGGCACAGGTGGTTTRCAGAAAGCAGCTCTGAGCAGCACTGTGTCCCTCCTCCAGGATGTGAAAAGACCCCTAAGATTTRCCGAGAAAGAGTTACTAAAAAAGGGGAGGCAGCACTTGAACTTGCTGGGTGAGCTAGACCTGGTACTGGCGGAGCCTGGTCAGCTTCTGACGGTATCACAGGTGAGATCTCCAGGTTAGTCCTGGAGCTGGCAAAAAACCCCAGCATGGGCAGTAATCCAGATAACCTTTGCTGCATGTCAGTAAGAGAAACATAGGAGGCTGCAGAAGTAGAGACTGAGGTGGGAGAGCAGCCTTTAAGTACCTGCCATGACTCTGGCTGTGTTCAAAAATTTTCTGTAGGTCTTTGTTTAAATGTCCAGCTCAGCATCCCATTCAGATCCATTAAAAATATCACCAAGACTAAAGTATTACTGTGGAATGCATGAACTGCCCAAGCTCCCATTTTTGTTTGATTTGATTTCTCTACGAAGCCTCTCTCAAAGAGCTCAGATTGCATTTACTTGGGGAATATTTTGTCAGATCAGCACGTACAGCATGAAATCAATAGCAGCTCTTGAAGAAAGACTGGATTCATCCATTGTCCAGAACAACCTCTTCAGCCAACTTTTCTTGGGTGGAAACCACATTTAAGAAAACGACAAGCTCTATCTTCCTTCCACCTTCCTCAAAACCCTCCCCTCAATGTTCCCTGTGGACCAAAGGCAAAGCCCCATTTCTCCATGTAAYATTATCTCTGTATAAAAACCTATTTCTGTACAAAATAACACTGCTTCTATCCAGATATGATGTTATTCTTTCCAGTGTAATTTTCTACTCTCTCATATGAACAACTCCATACTGCAAGCTTCAGCTTATTATTCAAAATTACACTAATTGCTGATTTTCATACATTTCCACATAGCTTGAYTTCAAAAGCAGATTCCTGCTTTCAATAAGTAGTATATGAGCAATGCTTCCAAGTTAATGTGCAAATTATTATGAAGAGAATCA